AAAAAAAAAAAACACAAAAATAAAATTAAAAGTCTTTATTGTAAAAAATTATATTGTTCATTTTTTAAAATTAATTCAATAGATTGTAAATGAAAGTTGATAACAAATAAAAAAAGTTATGAAGATTTAAAATATCTTTATAATTTAAGTTGATTAAGTGTTTAATAATTTTAAAATTCACATTAATGAAAGTCCAAATCTATATGGATCACTCGAAACCACCCGAATTTGACACATGTGATATCGAAGCACGAGAAATCGATCCAGGCTCGTGAAACTCTGCATTTATCGTAATAGTACAACACTCTTGTATTAGACGGGTACTTGTTAAAAATTTATACTTATGTTTGTTAAAAAAATGGAAAAGAAGAAATAAGTCTTTGTTTAAAATCTAAAATACTTTTTAAAATAGTTCATTATTATTTTTATTTAAAACGACACCATCACTTGTACTACATACCCGTCTTATCTTGTAATATTTTCTAACCCATATCATATAGTTACTCTTTTATAGATAGATTTGTTTAATTGATAAAGGATTTTATTATATTTCAAATAATATCAAGTTAAAATATGATTATTATTTACTTGAAATATAGATGTCAAATCAAAGTTCGTCAAAAGACAATTAGTTTATATCATATATGAAAAATCGACAACAAATACAAAAGTATTGACTTTTTTAATATATTTGTAATATACGTTAATTAAGTGTTTTATAATTTTAAATATATTAATAGGTATTAATAGAATTCCAAAACCACATTGACTACGGAGCACCAAAAATTGATATATGGGGTCACAAAACATTAGAATTCAACAAATAGGATTACGAACCAGAAGTTGAGAAATAGATTCGGGAAACTCTTCATTACTATAGATGTTTGGTAAATCTAATTAATAATGGTATTCATTACTATAGATGTTTGGTAAATCTAATTAATAATGGAGTTGATTGATAGCTGGTAAGTTAGCTGATTGCTTATAACTGAATCTTGAGGTTACATTATAGCTTATGTGTGTGAATTGTGATGACTGAAAAGTTAGCAGATATATTGAAAATGATATTTTGAAAGTGCTTGGTATAATTCGCTGAAATAAGAATTTGAAGGGGCTTTTTGAATACTTACATAATAAAGCTTATGAGATAAACTTCAATTTTTTAAAAAAGCTCATTCAAACCAAACTTATTTAAATAATAAATGCACTAAATAAGCTGTAAGGTAACTAATGGTGGTTACCAAACAGATAGATTATTGGAAGCAAATAAATAGTAAAATTTATAGATAAACGCACTGTTGGCGCCCCCTCGATTCAAGCACGGCAGGAGTACCGGACGCTGCATAGCCTCGGGTGCTCCCCAACCAGCGAACACCAATGTACCACTAACCACAAGACACCTATTTAGGCGATCATCCGACAGTTATTTCTATCTGCCGACGGCCATTTTTCAACTAGATTCAGAGTTCCCTAATTTGTAGACCAAGTCAAGCTGTTCACTTACTAGGAAAAATGATTTATCATTTTCTGTCTTAGTGTCCTCAAATACCAAACTTCTTCTGATTTTGTTTCATAAGGTTGCTACAGTCTACAGACTCTTTTACTCTTTCTACTTGGGGTTAATAAGATCTTTCACAACTCATTCTACTTCAACTTCTCAGGTTGCAATATCGCGTGGACTGAACGGTATCGGTCTAGCCATCGTGACCCCGGCCATCCAATCCCTCGTGGCCGACTCCACCGACGACACCAACCGCGGGACCGCCTTCGGCTGGCTCCAACTCACCGGAAACCTCGGCTCCATCATCGGCGGCCTCATCTCTGTCCTCCTCGCCTCCACCTCCTTCCTCGGCGTGCCAGGCTGGCGCCTCGCCTTCCACCTCGTCGGCCTACTCAGCGTCCTCATTGGCATTCTTGTCCGCCTCTTCGCCACCGACCCCCGAGGAGCACCCGATAATCTCACCCACCACCAAACCCCTAATAAAACCACCTTTCGTGACGAGGTTAAGGGTTTGATAAAGGAGGCAAGGGACGTGATCCGAGTCCCGACTTTCCAAATACTCGTGGCCCAGGGAGTGTCAGGCTCCTTCCCTTGGTCCTCCATGTCGTTCGTGCCCATGTGGCTCGAGCTCATGGGCTTCTCGCACGGGACCACGGCAGTTATTCTCACCGTGTTCAGTGTGGCGGGTTCGTTAGGGGGATTGTTCGGCGGGAAGATGGGGGACGTGTTGGCCGTGCGGCTGCCCAATGCCGGGAGGATTATTATGTCTCAGGTGAGCTCGGGATCGGCCATCCCGCTCGCGGCCATTCTGCTGCTCGGATTGCCGGACGACCCGTCGACGGCGTGGGCCCACGGGTTCGTGTTCTTCGTGCTCGGGCTTTTCGCGTCGTGGAATGCGCCGGCTACGAACAAGTAGGGTGCTTTTCTTTCTGAATTTTGTTTTGTTCTGTTGGCAAATGTGGGTCAAAATATGCATTTTCAGATCTCTTGGTTTAACATCGTAGCAATTTTAGTTCCAAAGTTTTAATTTTTCTCGCCTTTTGGTCCTGTGTGTTGATATTTTGCTGCAATTTCAGTCCTGCAATTTCAGATTTTTTAGGATTGAAATTGCGATAAAATTTTGAATTACAGACTGAAATCGCAACAAAATTTTAAATTACAGGACTTAATGGCTAATCGATTCAAATGGCTGATAAAAAATCTGTGAATTTGAGAATTTGTTGCAATGTCAGTCCTCAGAGGACTGACATTGCATCAAAATATTATTAATTCAAATGTCTAAAAGGTGAAACATTGGAACTTTTGGACTAAGACGGCTATGGCATTAAACCAGGACTAAAAATTCAATTTTGCCGCAAAATGTGCTTAATGAACCTTAAAATATGTTGCTTTTTAACTCGTATATTCTAATGTGACATTAACACTTACCATTTGTCACACATTGCGTGCAGCCCGATATTTGCAGAGATAGTCCCCAAGCGGTCCCGGACGAGCATCTACGCCCTGGACAGGTCGTTTGAGTCCGTACTGGCCTCGTTCGCACCCCCAGTCGTCGGGTTTTTGGCCCAGCACGCGTACGGCTTCAAACCCCCTTACAAAGACTCGGACGGCTCTAAAAGAATCGATGCCGACCGAGAAAACGCAAAGTCGCTCGGGAAAGCTCTCTACACGGCAATTGGCATACCCATGGCAATATGCTGTGTTTTCTACTCTTTTCTCTACTGCACGTACCCTCGCGACAGGGATAGAGCGAAAATGGAGGCTCTGATCGAATCCGAGATGCGAGAGATCGAAAGTAATGGCTCGGATTTAGTGCTAGGGTCTTACGGAAAGGAAGAGAGTGCAATAGATATGGACTATAATGAGAGGGACAATTTCGATGAGAATGACAAACGAAGGTTGCTGACATCATCGGATGCAGGTAAATTGTAGTACAAGTGATTCGAGGTGTTTGAAGGTACATTATGTTGTATGGAGAATTTTACAGAAAGTAGAAAGTACCCTTGTAGTTATGACTTATAGAAGGGAATTGAAAGCAATTGCACTTGGCTAATTTTTAGAATTACGAATGGCCCCTGTATACGGGCTTTTTTTTTTTTTCTTCTTTTNTTTCGGAGAGGGATGTTTGTAGTTTATAATTGATACATTGGTTGTTTCATATATGACGAACTACACTACATATCGGGAGTAATTCTGTTATTTATTTATAATTGATACATTGGTTGTTTCATATGTGTTGTTATTTATTATATGCCGTCATTCCGGCAGTTTACTGTGCAGTATAGCTCAATGCAATGAACAGTAGAAGAATGGTGGCCAAGATTATTTAGCTATAAATAGTCCTAAGTTTTATTTATGACAGAGCATGTAAAATAAGAAAGTAGAAAACACCAAAATACTGTGTAAAAGACAATCATTCGCAATAAATTCAAGCAACACCACCTAAAAATCCTGTTTAAGGGTGAGCAAAACCAAGCTAAAACCGAAAAATCGAATTGAATCAATGTATTCGGTGTTGTTCGATTCGATTTTTCAAGTGTTCGGTTTTCGGTGTCGTTAGAATATTGAAGAACTGCACAAATTTCGGTTTTTTGTTCGAAAGGTGCGGTTTTAATCGAACCGCACCGAATTTTTTTTTTTTAACTTTTTTTTTTTAATTTGTACTGTACATATACAAGCTGATTTTGGGTCTTTTGGTTTAGGCTGACTAACATTAACGATAAATAAGTAAACTAACAAATAATAAAAATAACAATTAACAATTAAAAACATTACATTAAAATCTAATTTCTTCCCATAGATTTTGAGAATTTTACTCCACATACGACTCTATGAGTTTTTTATTGCGTATATACGAAAGATAAATCTTATTAGCAAATGTACAATATCTAATATTTTTATTTGCATATTAATTACCACAAAAGTTAAAGCATCAGTTTGCTTTTTTTTTTAGGGCAAAAACCAAAAATAAAATCCCAAACCCCTGGCGGAGCACCCCAAAATTCCACCACCGCAAAAAATGGCCGCAGCTTACAATTCCGATCAACCCATCACCGGCGATTCTGCCGCCGGAGGAAACGACCCCAGCTATGTGCCGAACTCAGTCAAATCGTTCGTAGTTCACATGTACCGCTTGGTAGGGATGATTATTTGAGAAAACGAGCCAATCGGACCTCGAACTAGCGACGACTCACAGATCGAGCGAGAGACCATCGTCTGTGGCTCATTAACCCGTGGTGGAGCAACACCTGACGATCGAACCTCGGATCTGGTCGCTGACGGGAGACGACCATGGGCGGAGAGGAAGACAAGCGGGCTGGTGGATTTCGGTCGAGGGCGGCCAAGCCACATGTGACAACCCGACGCTTGGATATGGTGTTGTGGCCAAATTGGACAACTCTTTGATGTATATAACGTATGTCCGTATATGTTATGTATATATTTCGTATATAATGACTATATTGGTTTTCTTTTTTTTCTGTATATCTTATGTATGTTTTCTGTGTATATATAATGACTATATATTCAGTATATTTTCTGTATATAATGCGTTTATAATTTTCTTGTATCTTTGTATGTATTATGTATATAATGACTATATATTAAGTATATATTATGTACATGATGCGTTTTGGTTCTCCTTTATCCGGTGAGATTAGGGCTCGATTTTCCCAATCAAGAGGCGAACCGTCGTCGCCGCTGGGGCCGAACCCCGTGAAAAGAAATGGAGAAAAAATCGGGGAGGAAGAAAAAAATTAAAGAGAGAGGAAAGAGAAAAAGAAACGGGGGAAGAAATAGGGGAAGAAGAAAAAATATTAAAGAGAGAGGAAAGAGAAAAAAATTGTTCCGTGTTTAAAGAGAGAAAAAAGAAAGAAACCAACGTGCCGTGTTTAAAGGGAGAGGAAAGAGAAAAAAACGTGACTTGTTTACAGAAACTAGTTTCGTACTTGTGCAAATTAAATTTTAATGTAGTAGATTTATAGTTATTTAACAATCTGACACGTATGTATGTAAATTGGCCTAGATTTTTACTCTCAATTCAAATTTTGGGCCTTTGGTTTAGTACTGTTGCACATTAGATGATGATGTAGCTTCATTTTATTTTGGGAGTTTTTTTTTTTTAAAAAAAAAAAATTGCCGCTAACTGAAACCGCACCGAACCGAATCGAAAATTTCAGTGCGGTTTTGGTTCGGTTTTTCTTCCAATTTCGGACGATATCTGTATAATGAGTACCTCTTCTGAAGGAGCATCTTCCTGTCCGACCTCAATTCATATCCGAAACTCTATCTTCTTCATTAAACCTTACTCGTTTCGCGATTATTTTCCCAATCACTTATTGATTAACCGTTGATACAAACCACATATCAACATATACACTAATAAATGTCTTTATTCTTTTTTCAATACATTAAAATTTAGAATTTATAGTTTTGCTTAAATTTTATTATATAATTATATATTTTATGCATAATAAAATTTAGTGAACAAAATCAATGGAGATGACTACGGCTGCTAACGAGTCGAGCGGCTCGCGAGCGCTCGAGTCAAAGCTCGACTGACCGAACTCGAGTCAAGCTCGAGCTTATATTTTGCATTGTCGAGCGGCTCTTCGAGAGGCTCAAATATATTAAATTACTAAATTACCCCTTATATATATTTAAATAATATAACACATGTGCTTAATGATAATTTTACTTTTCCATTTAAAAATTTTGTAGCCGAGCTCGAGCTATTGTATTTTCTTACCGAGTCGAGCTCCAACTGCTAAAAAAAATTCAATTTTGCTCGATAAGGCCAATGTTCGATTCGACTCGGCTGGTTGCACAGATGGCATTTAGGCTTCGTTTGTTCTGAGGGATTTAAAATCCCTTGATTTCAAAATTTTTGAAATATAAATTTTGTACTTGCACGCTTCTTGAATGGATGTGTTGAAAATATTATAAATCAATTGTCTAGCTCGCACCGATGGTGTTGACTCGCGGTGGTGATGAACCTAAATGATCGCGGACGGCGTGGTCGCCAACGGTGATAAACAGTGGATTTCAAATAACTAGGTTTGAGAAGTCATTTCAAATCTTCCAAAATAATGACTCAAAAACATTTACCATGAATTCGAAATTCTCCAACTTCTATTATCATCCCAACATGCATAAGCATTTAAACTTGTAAATTTGAAATCTATAAATTTCAAATCCCTTAATAAATCCCTCAAAACAAACGAAGCCTTAGAGTAAATAAACTACAAAAAGAGGGGCCCAACGATACTTCGGCTAAGCATGCTATAGTTGAAGTGTTTGTCGCTACTCTCCATCCCAGTTTCCTACACACCACATTTTCCAAATGAAACACGCTTTCACCGAGGATTTGAGGCTGGCACGTCGCGCTCCAAGTGGCATCTAATTTACCTTAAGATGTAGAGGGATAGGAGCTTGGAAGCTTCGTCAAAGTTTTTCTTTTTCTTTTTCTTTTTTTGGTAAATGTGAGTTAAATATGGAGAAAAATGTGTCGAATTTCTATTGGCTTATACAAGAGACATTTTAAGATATAGTCTATATTTCTATTCAAATGGACGGTTCCATTTCTAAAAGCAGATAATGGCAAATGGAGAAAAAGGTACCGGGGACCGGGGTTCGTTAACAAGTAGAAATATATTATGGAGTAAGGCTACAATCCTATTACGGAATAATTTTGTTGGAATTTGTAACCGTTAGATCAACTATCATTGACGGTTACTTGATGATCTAACGGTTATAAATCTCAACGGAATGATTCCGTAACGGGATTGTAGCATTTTCCTATATTATGACCTATAAGAATAGGTATCGTGATTTTCCGATAAAGTTTTAAATTAAGAAATAATAGTGCAATATCTGTATACTACACGAGTGTTTAATAAAATAATTTAATGTACAACAAAAAATGAAAGAAAAAAATACTTATATATTTTGTTGATATGGAAAAAAAATAAGGAACAATATATAATAATTTATAATAATGAACTAAGTGAATTAATAAAATTATTTTAAATTCTGAAAACTAATTTATATACACCATTAGTTTTATTTATAAAATTTTAATTTAAAACACACAAGAGAATAATATGTACAAAGTACAAAATTTGAAAATAAGATAATATGCACATTATAGAAAGAAGATAATAAATAGATTTGCATGGAATATTTTAGATATATTAAATATGTGGATATATGGTATTCCAAACCTAAGCTATTTAGTATAAAAATTAATAATTTTTATCCCAGACATATTACAAAGTAATAGAATAATATTTTGTCACATAAAATTACAAGTGTGCAAAGCTGCCATTTAAGCTCAACGCTTTCTAATATTATATACAAGGGGATAAGAATAATTATCGATTAGGGGACGAGAAATAACTCTGTCGATAGTTATTTTTAGACGGAACTATGGTTAACAATAGAGTGTTAACTCAAAATTCAACCAAAATCTAATTATCAATATTATCAATATAAATAATAAAAATCAATTATTACTATAAAATTTTCAATAAAATTCACTATTCACCCACTCACAAAATATATTTGTAACAACCAAATCTTTTCAATCATTATTTTAATATTTTTATAATTCATTAACTTCAATTATTACATTTTAATACATATTCATTCACAAACTCAAAATCAAATTCGAACTTATACTAAATCATTTTTTTTTTCAATATTAGCTTACGTTATTGAATCACACAATCCCAATTGTTTTTTTTAATGGCAAAATTCATTAAGAAACACATAATTACAAACGACTAACTAGCTTACTGAAGCAGTCTAAAGTTGAATACAGAGGGATGCGTATTAGTCGGAGCAATTGTAGCCTGTAAACTACTGAACTAAACACACCACCAACCTAGAAAACTAAAAATCTATAATACAAACTCCCATGGAGAATACTAACTCCCAAAAAAAAAGAATAAAACACCAACACAAATGAAAACAAATAAAAATTAAACACACTAAACACACAAATTAAACACACTAGATACTAGACTAAAACCCTTCTCGCAGTCGGCAAGTCACTCCAACCAAAAAAACGACATCGACACCCTAGGGCGGCCATCATCGAATAGAGACATAGCCCAAGTCGCAGATCCAGAAATTGCAGTACACCAACGCCTAACTAGATTCGAAATCACAGACTCTACCTTTTGCTCAGGTGGACAACCTCATACCAGCAATCGAAAGCCTTCGTCAAACTCCACCCCAGCACCGACGCAACTTAGTCCCGAACACTAACCACAATTT